TGGCGGCGCGTGGGCAGCAGGGTGGGGACCACAGTCAGTTCTAGAGTGATCTCCTAGTCCTCACGAGCGCATAGGATTTCGCGAATCTTAATTCGGATAACGTTTGAACCCCGAACGGATCTCGCCTAGTATGTGATTTCCGGGTTCTATACGTTTGAACCGTTGGATCGTAGTCAATTTCAAGTATGTTGATCTAGGTATTTCCAAGATCGTATAGTATTTGACGGATCGTAAAACGGAGTCCCGGATACTCCAGAAATGTCAGCCCTAGAGTATGTTTTACGGATATTTAAACCAGTTACAAAATAACGAACTAGTTGCAGGTCAAGAACAGAGGAAAGAACTACGTGTGGCTTGATCCCTCAGAAAGGGTACGTAGGCAGCCTACAGTTATTAGGCGCAGCCACGAGTTAGGGGCTCAGGGTTTATGTTATTGTTTTCAGGGTATTTTCGTCTTTTACTATCCACAGTTACCAGGTGTCAATTTAAAACTGGATTCGGCCCGGATTTCAAAGTGGAATTTGGGTCGGGTCGTTTCATAAAAAACTTGAGCAGAAGAAGGTTGAGCTCAACATCCATTCACAGACTAAGGCTAGTTGTGTCGTTCACCTCTCCACTGTGAAACATCATTAGCAAATCTGGCCATCGCCGTAAATCACCTCATAGTAGCGCTCACCTCTCTAAGAGTTGTGTAAATACGATGAGAAAGTTAGAAGGAACACTTGCTCAATGCTCTCAACCTCATCTTTGCGATTGGCTTTACCACGATAAGATATTTTGTCTCATTAATCTCAATGTAGCATATATATTTGTTTATTATTTTAATATATTCATAAAATTCATGTTCCGTTGAATTGTCTTAAGCATAGACAAAAGCATGTGGGTTGGTCTGCCCAAGTTAAAAGGATTGATTGATTAGTTGTTATTATTATAGTCTGATGCATTATATAGTGCACCAGTTTGCATCATTTTCTTATTATTTCCACTACCATTATTTTACTTGTCACTTCCATTATTATATTGTATCATTGTCTTGTTTAGTGTGTGAGTCAAATAGTCACATCACTTTATTACTCTATCTATGCATCATACCATATGATGTCTGCCTAAAGGCTGCCATTCTAATAAAGCATGACTATATTTTATATGCCAAAGCTATCATCCCAAGGCATCATCACATTTATGAAAGTTGCTATTATAGTGTTGATATATAATACTAAAATACTAAAGTTGTCACCTAATAATACAATTTTTCATATAGATCTTGTAGCTTAACACGCAACGTCATTAACCAGACCCAATTTGTGAGAATGATGTCCGTATGCAGCATCTGCTCTGGCTAACAGAGGAAACAAAGCCAGCTCTAGAACAACATATCTATATCAGGCACAAAGCTGCACATACTTCTTGAGCTGAAATTGAATTAGGCATCTCTGGTGTACAGATTTCCAGAGATTTATGCTAGTCAAGCTTTGACCAGAATCATGTGCTGGAAGAGACTAAAGCACAAGAGCAAGAGGGCCCTGGAGGCTTTGGCAAATCCATTATTCATGTCATTGAGCAAACTACATGTGCAAACCCCAAAATACTTGGGGGCTTCGTGCCAAGCAAAGTTTTTCAAAAAAAAAAGGAGCCAAACACAGGCCAAGCATCTGATAAAAAGAAGCCATCTTCTCTGGCCAACATCAATTACTGAATTATACCCTAAACCCTAAACCCTACTAGCAAGTCGTTGCCATTTTCTATTAACGAAGCATCAATTACTGAATTATACCCATGTTAGTGTATATCGAACAATCTTGCAGGACTGTACTTTGGAAGTTCTTTGATTTTGTTTCATTTCTCTATGCGTTTCATGGTTGATCTAGCTGTTTTGTTTATTGTTCGTATAGTTAGTCTCTGCTCCGTAGGCATAGGGGCCTCTGTATTGGTTTGGTTGCCGATGTAGCGTTGTCTTTATTTGACAGTGTTTGCTTCTTATAATATTATGATTCGAGGGTTCAATCACCTTGTTAATTATATATTTAATATTCAACTCGTAGAGGATAGCCGCGCAACTATACTTTTGAAATATATACTACTTGTTGAGTATACCAGCGCGGCTACACTTCTGAAATATTTATTTAATATTCTACGTATATAGTATAGCCGCACTACTATACTTTTGACATGGTATGTAGTTTATAAAAAATATATATAAACCTTGTATCTTAAGGTCAATAATTTTTTTTTATTTTTTATTTTATTTTATTTTTTTTATTTTTGTAATTGTTGAGGCCCAAAAAATCCACGGTTGGGCTCGAATATATTCCCGGCCCAATGCAATACCTTACAGATAAGAAACCCGATTTGGGCACGCGAAAGTTTGTCATACACGCTTGCACAAGCCATGACCACATGCCACACCAAATAAATATGCCATCTGGCACACTAAGAATTTAAATGGGCCTATAAAAGGCACCGACTTTACAAGCTCATGCTAGTTACCCCTCTAGGCATCATGTCCCTTTTCAAAGACGATAAAATTAAAGCACGCCAATCGACATGCCATGCTAAGCAGGAAATCATTATTTCACACCCAACCACGCTACAAGCTTAAGTGGGCCCAAGCCACACAAATGCTCGGGGCTTGCTTGAGTGGGTTGTGATATGAATGGTAACGAGCCTTCATGAGGCCTATTGATGAGCCAAGAAATGGAAGTTTTGGGCCGCTTGGGAGCCCCAAAACTCAAGCCCATTTCTTAAGCCCAAATATGTGGGTAAGCATAAAAGAGAGAAAAATGGAGCCTAATACCCTAGGCAATTAGCCCATCACCATAAATAAAATAGCCCATCATTTAAGCCCATTCCCTTGGTAGGCTAACCAATCACTTTAGCAAAAACCCAAGTGGCCAAGAAAATATCCATAGTCTCCAGCACTTAGCTGGAAACGTGAACCACGATGAAAGCCAAAGTGTTATGTCAGTGAGATGCTGGGAGGCTCCAACACATGAGCTAAGAACGAACACCAAGGTGGAACATGCAAAGAACAAGGGGATATTAGTGCGCGTAGGTTGCTAGGAGCCCCCATTTCTCCATCTCCTCCCATTTTCTCTTATGGTAAGTCATTCCAGAGCTTGATAGAGCCTTTGTCAAGCTGCTGAAAAATTACCCAAAACACTCAATATTTCACCACTAGTTACAACACACATCTGGAGAGCAAGCTTTCTCTCCCCTCTGAAACCTCTGGTATTTCGAGTCAAATCCTTCCATCTCTCCCCATTTTCAACTGTTCTAAAGCTTGATTAACTTTTCGTTGAGCTGCCAGAAACTACTCAACACACCCAATATATCCTCATCCATCTCTCTTTTCAACAAACCCACTTACAATCCCTTCCCCTTCTCCTTAGACCTTGTTTCTCATAAGAACTCACAGCTCTCTCTCTTTAATGCTAAACTCATGATTGCTTTGCTTCCATGCCACAAGCCTCTCATGCCAAGCTAAAAATTTATCTGTAAGCGACTATTAGTTTTGCTGGTAAAGGTAACTAAGGTGCTTCCTAAGGCTCAGCTACCTTTTCGAAGCATTATTGGGGCCTAATTCTTGAACTCAGAGCCAAAGGCAATTTTCTCTCATTTGACTCTTTACAACAATTCAGGCCCGTAGTAGCTACGGAAATGAAAAAGCCCCTACATTAATTAAGTAATATTTTATCATTTTTTAGTTACTTATATTTCTAGTTATGTTTTAATTATTATTTCTTTATTGAAGAATTAATATTAAATATTTTAATTAACTTGATAAAATATATTACTTAATAAATAGTAATTAACTTTTTTCTTGAATAAAATATTTAAATACTAATTATTCACCAACTAAATATTAATTAAAACAAAACTACTTATTAAAGTAATTAAAAAAGAGAAATTCATATTATGCTATTTAATTGTATAGCCGTACGGCTATATGTTTGAAACTTTTTTATTTAAAGAGTATAGCCGGTCGGCAATACTTATGAAACTTTCTATTTAAGTGTCAATCGGGTGGCAATAGTACTAGGGGTGGGTATGGTTCGGGTTGGACTAGTTTTTGCCTCAAATTAGAACTGATCAAGTACTATTCATCAGGTTAGGTTCGGTTCGATTTTAATAAAAAAATTTCAAAAAATTTCCAGTTCAGGTTGAACCGATTTCGGTCCAGTTTGGTTTTGAATCGGATTATAAAATTTATTTTTAATACAATTCTCAACTGAAATATTATTATTTTTACTTGAAAATTAACAAATTAGTCAATTTCATATAAAAATAAATATTAAAGTTAGAAAAGAGAGATATTTTGATATTGAACTTGGACAAATATTAATATATTTTTTTGTTAAATTAAAAATATAGCATTAAATATAAATATATATTGAAATTATATATTTTTTAATTTGACCGGTTCGGTTTGGCCCTGTTCGATTTTGAAGACATGGAATCGGGTCCAAAACTGGTCCAAACTAGTCCGGTTCGTTTTTTGACCGGTTTTTGACTTGTTGGTCAACTCGATTTTTTTTTTATTTGATTCGGTGTGGTTCAGCTCAAATTTCCGGTTCGCCGATTTGAGTGCCCACCCCTAAGCAATACTGTTGAAATGTTTTTCTTAAAAGGTATAGCCGGCCGGCTATACTATTGAAATATTCTTCTTATAAAGGATAGCCGCGTGGCTATAGTTTTGAAATATCTTGCCCATTTTTAGTTACTGTCATTTGTAATTATGTTTTAATTATTATTTCTTTAGTGAATAATTAGTATTAAATATTTTA